CCGCCCATCCCCTCCGCCATCCCCCCCCTCCCTCTCTGCGTGGAGTTTGAACCCAGACCCGCACCGGGCACTCACCAGCAGGACTCCCGGCTTCATCGCGCTCCCGAAACTGAAAGCTGAAAGCGACCGATGAGGGCGGGAGCCAGGGAACCGGGGACCAGCGCCGCTGCCGAGAAATCACGTGTGTTCAAGGCAGCAGCCCGGAGCAGGCCTGGCACAGCCGCTCCCCGTGCGCCCGGCCCCGGACCCAGGACGTGATCCAGCATCCCAGGGGCGCGCTGGGCTCAGCAGGTGAGCTGAGGGGCGGGGGCAGGGCGCCCCGGGATGCTGTTGCAGGACTTGGGGGGGGGTAGTTCAGGGGGAGGCCTGACTCCTGGCCCTGGGTGTGTGTGGGGGGACCCCCCAGGATGGAAGCAAGGAAGAGAATGACAGGTCCCATTCACTGAGCCCTAGCTAGCTGACCCAGGTGAGTCCGATGTGTGCGGTTTTTATTTTTGTGCCACTACTGAGGCTTGAACCCAGGGACTTACCACTTCCCTTAGATTTTATTTTTTGCTCAAGACTAGTGTTCTACCACTTGAGCTACACTCCACAGTGCTGGCTTTTTGCTGGTTAATTGGAGAGAAGAGTCTTAGGACTTTCCTGCCCTGGCTGGCTTCAAATCCTGATCCTGAGATCTCAGCCTCAGTAGCAGCCAGGATTATTGGCATGAGCCACCAGCACCCTGCTAGGATAAGTACTCTGTACAGAGATCTCTCTTCCAGTCTTTGAAGTCACCCTAACATAGAGGCAAGCAGGACCCTATGGCAGGGAGGAAGAAGGGGGGAATTACAGGGAGGAGGGAGGGGAATTACAGGGAAGAGGGGGGAATTGCAGGGACGAGGGAGGGGAATTTCAGGAAGGAGAGGGGGAATTGCAGGGAGGAGGAAGGGAAGGACTTCACAGAGTCACCCAGGACCCACCAGCAGAGAGGAGGGAAGCATGGAAAGAAAGACAGGGAGACAGAAGGACAGGGAAACAGGACATGGGGGTGGAGGGGAGGAGATGGAAGGGGAGGGACAGGAAGAAGGAGAGTGGGGTCAGGGGCAGTAGGGAAAGACTTCCTGTTCAATTACTCATTCAGAACTTTCCTCCAGCATCTTCCACCATTTTTAGCTCTTGTCCCTGGACACGCCTGTGGAGACCGCCCCATCCTGGGGGTGGCTCTGCCGGCTAGAAAGCCCTCTAATTCTCAAAGGAAAGCAGTGTCCACAGCCAGACTTCTGCTCCCTTGCTTTCCAGGCCAAAGATTGGGGGAAGAAGAAGAGGGATTGCAGGGTAGAGGTCAGACACATGGATTGTACCTCACATCTCAGGTTCAATTCTTCCCCTCAAACTGGGTTGGATTGAGAGCTCCCCAGGATCTCCATGCACCTCTGCAAGTGTCTGGGAGGGCCTTTCTAGAGAATTAAACTGCCCCGGGCTAAGCTTCGGCCTAATCAATGGATGGCACAGCCTGGGAAGTTGTGAGGAGCCAGGGGCGGGCCTGTGGGGAGGAAGCAGATCCCTGGTGAGCTGCTTGGGGGCCCTGTCCTGCCCTAGGTTTCTGTATTAGTCTGCTTCCTCTGCTCCTTGTCTGCTGCAAGCTGAAGACAGTTCTCCACCACACACCATGAGGTTCAGACAAGTATGTGGGGCCAACCATGGCTGTACCCCTGAAACCATGGGCCAAAGTAAGTCCCTCCTCCCTTTAAGTTGGTACTGTCAGGTGTTTTGGTCACAGCAACCCCAAATTAGCCATCACCTTAACTGAGTGCTATGGCACGTTGGCCAAATGTCTCTAAGGCTCAGTCAGTCACGCCATCTATAAGATGGGAACGAGGACAACAAGACCTCTCCATAATCTGGTCACAGAATTTGAAGACCTGAAGCTAGGGCTCAATGCTGCTGTGCCTGCTGTCCCCAAAGCCAGCCCCCCTCCTTTTTTGTTATGCCAGTCAGTCCTGGGGCTTGAACTCACGACCTAGGTGCTGTCCTTGAGCTTTTATGTTCAAAGCTAGCCCTCTACCACGTGTGCCACAGCTCCACTTCCAGCTTTTTGGTGTTTCAGTAGAGATAAGAATCTCGTGAACTTTTCAGCCTGGGCTGGATTCAAACTTCAATCCTCAGATGTCAGCCTCCTGAGTAGCTAGGATTATAGGCATGAGTCACCAGTACCCAGTTACCCTATATTTTTGTCCTCTTCTGCAGGTGTCATAATCCCTTTCTAAGACAGTTGGGAGGGAGAGAACACCCATCTTGCACTTGCTTTCGTGGGTCTGGCTCCTTGTATAACTCTGACAATTGCCCTGTTCTGTCCTGGCCTCAACTTCCTCATCTATCAGATGGCAAATTCCCACCCCACTCCAAGCTATTATGGATGGATCATGGCATGGAATGGGGACTGTTGGCTCTATGTCTGGGGTGGGGAGAAGGACTGGGTTCTAGTCTCAGGGTTTATTCACTACTCATTGAACACCTCTGTGTGATTGGCCCTTCATGAAGTCCCCAGTGGGGCTTTGGATAAATAGGTGGATAAATAGGATCATGCAGACTACAGGATCAAGGTTACTATCACTTCAGGCAGATGAAGAAATAAGGTCCAGAGAGGTCAGGTGGCTTGGGGGGGGGATGGGGGGGAGGTCACAGAGCAATCGAGAGCAGAGTCTTGAACCCACTGCTCACTCCACCACCACAGTGACAGCGGGCCTACCACGAAGGATTCTAGGAGAGCTACTTCCCCAGACTGTTCACAGAAACTGCGCTCTGTACCCAGCCTGGCCTGGGGCCCAACAGTCTCCATCTTCTGGTCTAAGGTATGCAACTCTGGTTGTCTGTTTCAGAAAGACCTCAGTGCCAGCATGAAAACTAGCTAATGGACAAAAGTGTTCTTTGGGTGACAGCAGACAATGGTGAACCACTGCCCATAACTGAACTATACCAGGCCTCCTCAAAAGCCACAGTTGCTTGTCTTAATGTTTCTGTTCGTCTTACACACCTTGATATGTGTGCCACAGTCACTGGGGAAACCAAATGGCCCCCATGCTTTCTGTTTGCCTGAGGCCTAGTCTCACTGAGGCCCTTAGAATCCATCTTGGACAAGCCTAGCAGCCGGAGCACTTTCTCGGGGGGCCCCTGGCCTGGGGAAGCCTTGCCTGCTCCAAGAGGGTGGCAGTAGGTTCTGGGTACAGTCTTCTCTGGGGAACAGATTGGAACAGGCCATCGTTCTAGCAAGGTCAGGACTTCCTAGTCACTTGGGCTGGCCTAGAACAGCATTTCTGGGCTTGCTCAGAGCTTCTAGAGCAGGACTTGGGAGAGGCCCCAACTAGTTGATCCTGTTCTGGCAAATTCTTTTCACTTGGGGACTCCATAGCTCCTTTTTGCCTCGTGCACTCCCAGGGAGTGCTCAGATCTAGGGACCCACCCTCTGAGGGTGGAGATCTAGGGACCCACCCTCTGAGGGTGGAGAAGGGAGCTGGGAGATGAACGTAGCTTCCATTTTGGAATGGAGACGAGTTCTTGGTGAAAGTTTCTGTTTCTAAACAAGGAGCTGCCTGAGGCTGCCCCGTTCTCATGCTGCTGTGTTCATGCTGCTAAGGAAGGGCCTTGGATCTTCCCACACCCCTCAAGGGAGCATTCTAAGTCCAGTGTGGCTTCTGATTGCTGTTGTCACCCTGGCTGGATGGTGATATTGCAACTTCTTGACTTCCATGTGGGATAAGTTAAGCTTCTCCTGCCAAAGGCCCTTTAAGAGTCCTCCCCCTTCCTCCCCACGCTCCTTGTGAGTCAGACCTCGCTCTAGATTCCAAGAAATGGGTGGGATGGGGGGCATCAGAAAGAACCTGGCAAGTAGATGCTGTGTGCTAGGTGAACACTCTACTACTCAAGCCACACACCCCCAGCCCCTTGGTTTTGATTTTGATCTTGAAATAAAAGTTTAGCTGTCCTTGTCTGGGCTGGCCTGGAACTCTTGATCTTCCAGCTATGACTAGAGGTATGTGCTACCATGCCTAGCACCCTGCAGATCTTTTTTTTTTTTAATTTTTATTTTTTGTCAGTCATGGGACTTGAACTCTGGGCCTGGGCGCTGTCCCTGAGCTCTTCAGCTCAAGGTGAGGGCTCTACTACTTGAACCACAGCACCACTTCCAGTTTTCTATTGGTTTATTGGAGATAAGAGCCCAGGCTGGCTTTGAACCTCAATCCTCAGAGCTCAGCCTCCTGAGTAGCTAGGATTACAGGCGTGAGCCACCAGCGCCCAGCTCCCACAGACCTTTTTATACCTGAAGTGCCATCCACATGCCAAGTGCCCCCTCCATCTTGCCTCCTGGCAATGTTAAAACAAAAGCCAGGTCCTTCCATAGTGTGGATACCACCTGCTGCTCTTGCCTCATCTCTTTTCTTCTCTGCTGTCTGGGCTACACTGGTATCATCCTTGCCCTTTCTTGAATCTGTCAAGGTTCGCTCTACCCCAGGGACTTTGCATGTGTCTTGCATGCACCAGAAAAGTGGTAATCAAATTTCAAGATGTTTGGAGAGACAGATTACAGCATTATGCCTTTTTACCCCTCCCATTTGGTCAGTGTGTCCTGAAGAATTTTCTTCCCATACCTAGAGAAAAAGTTCCAAGCTTGAGAAGGGAAAAGCTTGCTGTGTAGTAGCCCAGGAAGGGAAGGTGAACTGGATATGTGCTCAGAAGATTTTTCTCTTCTGTATTCAAGTCTGACTTATTTGCCTTATTTATTTATTTATTTTGGTGCCAGTACTGGAGCTTGGACTCAGAGCTACCTGGGTGCTGTTTCTCAGCTTTTTCTGCTCAAGGCTAGTGCTCTATCCCTTGAGCCACAGCTCCGCTTCTGGCTTTTTATGGGTAACTGGAGATAAGAGTCTCACAGATTTTTTCTGCCCAGGTTGGCTTCAAATCCGAATCTTCAGATCTCAGCCTCCTGAGTTAGGATTACAGACATGGACCACCAGTACTGAGCTACATGAGTATTTTTATTCCAGTGAGACTTTAGGATGGGGGGGTAGGCTTGTCTCCCAGCTCCCCAAGTCCTCTCTCACCCCACCACAATGGATGGAGATGCCAGGGTCTCGATGTGAGTTGGCTTTGTGTCTCCTGCTTCCAGCCACTGCAGCCCCTTTGGAGCCTCTTAGCTCAAGGTCTGCAGGAAGTCCACCAGCAGGTGCTCTGGGAAGCCGAAGTCCATCTGCAGCAGCAGAAAGCCCTAAAAGGAAGGGCAGGGGTGAGGAGACAAGCTGTGTGGGGATCCCAGGCAGCCAGCCACCTGAGAGCTGTGCGGGGCTCTCTGCCAGAAGGTGGGGCGGCGCAAGGGCTTTGTACTCACATCCCGAGTGATGATCTCAGGGTTGATGATGTCAAAAAGGTCCAGGCCTTTACTGTTCATGAGAGCTGTAAACACCACCTCAAACCCTGGAGCAGAGGAAGGGGCCCTAGTCAGAATCACTTGGGGAGCAGGGTCAGCCAGGTCCCTTTGTTCCACGGTCCTGTGGGGCCCTCTGGGCACACATCTCTGGCTGGCTGAAGACATCCTGCTCAGAAGAGTCCTTGGACAATAGCTGTCTCCCCAGGTGTGCCGGAGATCACTCCTCACCCCCTCCAGAACATCTCAGTGCAGCTTACATGGTGGGGGGGGGCTCTCTGTAAAACCCATATAGTCCATCCTCATAGCTTTAGCTCATGGCACAGATTGGGGAATCAGGCTGAGCGAGACAAGACCCTTAGCCATGCTAAGTCCAGTATCTATTCCTTCCAACTCTACCAAAGCCCTGTGAATAAGCAGGTAGTGAAAATGAAGGCCCAGCAGGCTCAGTGGACCCAGCAGGACTTGTCCAAAAGTCTCTCACCGCTCCAACCTCTGAGTTAGACTTGCTGCAAATGGACAGATATCCTACAATGTCAAGGGTCACAAGTGGTTCAGGGATCCGCAAACCCCAGACTCTCATTTTACAGGAGAAGCTGTGGTTTGGGCTTGGGCCTTACCCTCCCAGCGGTGGGGGCTCTTTCTGCCACACCCAGTTGTCAGTAGAAGCGACACCTGGGTTCTAAAGAGAGTAGAGCTTCCCAATGGGGGTGGCAGGTGAAGTAGGATCAGGGGGGCTGTGCACCTGGCCGATCATTAGCATGCATTGCTGCTAGCAGGGAAAGAGGCTTGAGAGAAGGGACCAGAGGCCCTTGGATCTCTGCCTAAGAGGGGCCATCAAGGAGGTAGAGACCATGTGGAACCACAGCCCTCCCCCAAACCCCCCTTCTGTCCACTTACGAGACATGACCTCAGGGATCCCCACTGTGGTGACCATCGACTCTATGCAGCTCTGCATAGACTCAGAACTGCCCTGTGAATCAGAGGTCCAAGTTAGTACTCCCTGGGATCACTGCCTGGATGGGCAGTGACTGCATTGCACTCAGCCAAGAACTCCCCTGTCTCTGCGATCCAAACCACGGGAGCTCTCTGGACAGACACAGCTCCCAGCCATGAGCTAAGCAAGGGACCACCTTGTCGAATTTCTTTTGTACCCTTTCCTGATTTCGTTCAGGGCTCACTTCCTTTTTCTTTAAGGCATGAAGTCCTTCAGGGCCTACTTCTCCCTGACCACCTACCTCAGTCACGCTGGAAGCACTGGTTGGTTTAACCCTGAAATCAACAAAAGAGATGAGAATCAACCCCTGGAACACTCCCCGGCTGCCTCCCAGGAAAGAAATGAGAGGATTCTTAGATCATGTTTCTGTCTGATATTCAAGGCCTCCTTGGGAAGAGGGCTCTTTGGAGGCCTCTCTTGAGACTTGCCATTCTGGCTGCCCAGCCTTGGTTCTAGCAATCTCCTTCTCCTGCCAGGCCCTCCCTCCATTCCTGTGGGATCTCCTCCTTCTAAGTGTGGGCACTACAGAGAGGCCAGTTAGTCTTTGGTCCTCGAAGGAAGGAGCCAGATTCCATCCTCCAGCCCCACTCCCCCACCCCCCCTTCAGTCTTGCTCTGTGCTTGATCCCAGGTCAGATCAGGTCAGGAGAGGTTTAAGTTGATCCACTTCTGCAAGCCCATACCAGGACTCCACGAGGCTCAAGAAGAGCTTTTTCTTGGAATAGGAGGCTTGGATGGTGGTGCTGACCTCCTGGGGAGAGAAATCGGATTCTATAAGCCTGGCTTTCTGAGGCAAAAAGCACCCTGGATAGAAAGGTTGGAGTCTGGTCTTCTGAAAATGGAGAGGAAGCTGGGGCTTCAGCTCGGGGGAGGAGAGCTTGCCCAGTGCAAAGCCCTGACTTCCATCCCCAGCACCACAAAAAAGAAATAGTGATCTTAATAATTGAAAAAGTAAAAGTGCCGGGCACCAATGGTTCATGCTTGTATCCTAGCTTCTCAGGAGGCTGAGACCTGAGGATTGAGATTTGAAGCCAGCTCTCACACGAAAGTCTGAGAGACTCTTCTCTCTAATTAAACATCAAAAATGCAGAAATGGAGCAGTGGCTTCAGTGGTAGAGTGCCAGCCTTGAGTGAAAAAGCTAAGGGGCCCCCTACACAGGCCCTGTGTGTTCAAACTCCAGTACCTGCACACACACACACACACACACACACACACACACACACACACACACACACACACACACACACACATGGAAAAAAGGAAAAATGAAGGAAGTTCTCCAGCACCTGTGGTTTTAGGCTTAAGACCTAAACAGTCATGTGGACACTTCCTGACCTGTCCTAACCAGCCTGCATTCCCAATGGCTTCTTCCTGGTGGGGAAGAACCTCCCTGTGGCTCTCATTTTCCACACCCCAAGATGCTGGCATGGGGAGGGGGCCCTCAGCCATGCAGACATACCCAACTGAGAAGGGAGGAGCATGGTGAAAGGGCAGAGTCTCAGGTCCTGCTCTAGATTTACAAATCTGAGACTTTGGGGGAGTCTGTCCTTTGTCACCCTCCCCGGGACTGGTGTTCACACACGCCACCGTGTGAGAACCACAGCCCCTAATAGCCAGCAGAGAACCTCTGGATGTTGAGAATACTTTGAGTCAGCACCTTGCCTGACCACATATCAGAGTGATGGGAAAAATTAGTTACTGTCTATCTCTGCCCATTCCATGATAAGCTTCATGAAGTCAGAAACCCCATGGCCTGGCCCAGAGTAAGAACTCATCAGATGTTGAACATAAATGAATGTGTGACAGTGTTGGAGTGAAGACGTTATGGACTCCTGGATACATATGATGTGTGACCTTGAACACATGTCCTTGGTTCTTGACCTCTGAACTCCTTCTGTTCAGCAAAGGAGTGGTCCCCAGGCCACTTCCACCAAGGCTCAGGTTTACGTCTCCTCATTCCAGCTAATCTACACCTGCACAACCAACCACACCATCTTCTCTGTGGCTTCCACTTCCTCCTTCTAGCCCTTCCACTTCAGGACATGGTCTTAACCTACTTCCAGCTGACCACAAGTCCTTCAGTACCGCCCCCCCATACACACATCTATACTTAGCCTTTCCTCCTCAGCCCTGTTAATGGTTCCATCTGCCCAGACAACTGCCCCAGGGGATTCTGGCTAAAGCTGCCTTCTGGACTTTCTCCCTTCAGCTGCCTTGGGTGACAACAGGCATCAGCCAGATTGACAAGCAAGTAAGGGACATCCAGGAGCAGAGAACAAGAGTGGGCAATTGCAAAAGCCAGCAGGGGTGAGGCAGCGGGGAGAAGGGGATTGACAGGTGCTTGCTGGAGTCAACCAGGGTTTTTTTGCTTAACCAAACTTGAGTGGAACTCCTAAACCTTCTAGATCCAATGTGTGCTTCCTTGTAAACTCCAGTGTCAACAGGACTCCTCACCCTCATACATGATTCTGTCTACCATCCTCCACCATCCCATGATGACTGAATACCCCACTCATCTGTTTCCTTTCACTGCTGGTCCCAGGGCTTGAACTCAGGACCTGGGTGTTGTCCTTGAGCTTTTGTGCTCAAGGCTAGCTCCCTATCCTTTGAGCTACTGATTCACTTCTGGCTTATTCTGAGTAGTAAAATGAATAAGAATCTCAGGAACTTTCCTACCCTGGCTGGCTTTGAACTGCGATTCTCAGACCTCAGCCTCCTGGGTAGCTAGGATTAGGGGTGTGAGCCGTCAGTGTTTGGCTTATGTATCTCATCCTCAGGAATTGGTTGGGTTGGTTTAGCAGTCTCCCCAATGCCTCCACCCTTGCCCCTAAGGCCTTTTCTTTTCTGCCCCTTGACACCCACCTGCTCCCTCCTTTCAATTCCCTCTTGCCCAGTTGTATCTAGAGTCAAGCCCCACATCCCTATCCCGTTGCCTGCTCACAGCAAGACTCTGCAGCGGTCCCTGTGTCTACCACCTTGGCTACCGTAGTCTGCCTAACCAAGCTTGAATCAGGGCCATGCCTGGTTTTATTCTTTCACAGGAACTCTGCACGGTTCAGATTGTTAAATAACAAACAACATGACAAGTAAAACATAAACTAAGAGATTTTTTTCTTCAAAAAAGGCTGGTAGAACACTAGCTTTGAGCAAAAAAGCTCAGGGACACGCTCTGAGGTAAGCCCCAGTACTGGCACAAAAAAGAAAAGAAACAACCAATTACAGCAACAGGGTGGAAGAACTGGAAGGTTTCAGAGACCCCCCACACTCTCCCCAGTGGGCCAGGTCCCCTGCCCATCTCCCCTCACACATACTTCACCTCTTGGAAAGAATGAGCCTGAGAACCTTGTCCGTCTGCACGTGGGGAGAAGAAGGTCACCGCCACGGAAGAGCTGACCACGATGCCTCGGCTCTGACAGGAGATCCGGGGCCTCTTCAGGCAGTGCACAGTGACTTGGGCAAGGCCAGTTGGGAAGTTGCTAGAAAGCTGTAGGAGATAAGGGTCCCAAGGCCAGGACAGGAGTATCAAAGGGCTGTGGCCACTGTCACCCCAAGATAGAAGGAAGGAAGCTGAATGGGTCCCCAGGGTGGTGGCCCTGGCTGTGTCAGAGAACAGCAGTCATGATCCTTGGTGCTCTGGCCCTCCATTCTCTCCTCTATGAAATGACAAAGCAGTTCCTTCCCTGCTCAGTGCCCTGCACCTCACCTTCCTCATCTATAAAGTGCGGTGACAATAGTTACACACATAGGGCAACTGGGATTGGTGAATGAGAGAAAAGCCAGGCCCCATAAACTTCCTCCTGGGAGAGGTGGCCTAAGCCTCTCCCATTGTGTATGGGTCCCCACAGGTCCCCTGTCCTGGAATGGAAGGCAGGGCAGACATCAGATAGGCTCTTGACCCAGAAGGCTGTGCATTTGTGAGAGAATCCCAAATCTTCACAGTACTTTCTTTTCTTTTCTTTTTCTTTTTGTGCTATATGGGGGTCTTCAACTCAGGGCCTCACACTCTTGTTTAGCGTTCTCACTCAAGGCTAGTGTTCTGCCATTTGAGCCACAGCTCCACTTCTAGCTTTGTTGTGGTTCAGTGGAGATCAGAGTCTCACAGATTTTCTTGCCTGAGGTGGCTTCGAACTGCCAGCCACAGATCTCAGCTTCCTGAGTAGCTAGGATTCTAAGTTGAAAGTCACCAGTGCACTGCAAGAGACATATTCTAAGACCCTGAGCTCAAAGCCCAGTACCACAATTAAAAAGAATTGCTCTTAAAATGAAAACAATGGATGAATAAACAGATGAAAAATAGCTATTTAAAAAATTAGTGAACCATAGCTGGGCGCTGGTGGCTCACGCCTGTAATCCTAGCTACTCAGGAGGCTGAGATCTGAGGATCACGGTTCAAAGCCAGCCCGGGCAGGAGAGACCGTCCTATCTCCAATAAACCACCAGAAAACCGGAAGTGGCGCTGTAGCTCAAGTGGTAGAGCGCTCGCCTTGAGCTGAAGAGCTGAGGGACAGTGCCCAGGCCCAGAGTTCAAGCCCCACGACTGACAAAAAAAAAAAAAAAAAATTAGTGAACCAGGCATAGAGACACATGTTTGTATATCCAGCATTCTTGAGGCTGAAGAAGGATGATTGCAAGTTTGAGGCCAGCTTGGACTACATAGTGAGACACTGTCTCAAAAAAGAATGAGTCAGTCTGGGAATGTGGCTCAGTGGTAAAGTGCTTGCCATGCATGCCTGAAGTCCTGGGTTTGATTCCTCAGCACCACATAAATAGAAAAAGCTGGAAGTGGCGCTGTGGCTCAAGTGGTAGAGTGCTTGCCTTGAGCTGAAGAGCTGAGGGACAGCGCCCAGGCCCAAAGTTCAAGCCCCATGAGTTGTGTACCAGTGGCCTCAATCCATAATCCTAGTTTTCCAGGAAGCTGTATCTTGGAGGATTGCAGTTTGAAGCCAGCCCAGGCAGAAAAGTCTGTGAGACTCTTATACCAGCAAAAAGCCAGAAGTAGAGCTGTGACTCAAGTGGTAGAGTGCCAGTCTTGAGCAAAAAAGGCCTAGGAACAATGTTGAGGCCCTGAGTTCAAGCCCCACTACTAGCATGTAAACAAATAAATAATAAATATATAAGAATTGAAAAAATACTCACAGAAACTGATCAGAGCTTCACATAGAACTACAAAGAGCTGAGCTGGGCGTCGGTGGCTCATGGTGGCTCACGCCTGTAATCCTAGCTACTCAGGAGGCTGAGATCTGAGGATCGTGGTTCAAAGCCAGCCTGGGCAGGAAAGTTCGTGAGACTCTTATCTCCAATAAACCGCTAGAAAACTGGAAGTGGTGCTGTGGCTCAAGCGGTAGAGCACTCGCCTTGAGCTGAAGAGCACAAGGACAGCGCCCAAGCCCAGAGTTCAAGCCCCACATCCGACAAAAAAAAAAAGAACTACAAAGAGCTGAAAAACACAACAGAACAACTGACAGACTTTGAATATATATATATATATATATATATATATATAATGAAAATTCAAATACACAAGAATGGACCAAGTTGAGGAGAGGCAATAACTGAAGAGAGTGCCAAGAAATTTTCAAAGAGGATAGAAGATATCAACTCATAATGTAAATAGTCATGAGGGTTCCAAACCCCTAGCTGAGTGTTAAACACAGGCCAGACAATACAGGACTCTGGAGGCTGTGGGTGCAAAGTTGGCCAACTTCCTAAGACTCTAGTCCTTTACCCTCGACTGGTCTAAGCTAGCAGGTGAGTGCTCAAAATTGAGGTCTTGGGGCTTGAACTCAGGGCCTGGGTACTGTCCTAGAGCTTTTTTTCTCAAGGCTAGTTCTCTACCACTTGTGCCCCAGCTCCATGTCTGGCGTTTTTGGTTGTTATTTGGAAATCAAAGTCTCTTAGGGTTTTCTGCCTTGGCTGACTTTGAACCTCAGATCTCAGCTTCCAGAGTAGCTAGGATTACAGGCATGAGCCACCAGCACCCCCAGATTCAGTATTGCTTCTTAGTAAGATTATCCTGGCTTCCCTGGGGAAGAGACTGAAGGGACTGTTGGGATTTAGAAGGCTGGAAGTGGATCTTCACAGAGGAAAAACGTGGCTGGGCCTGGAGTGAGGGAGAGACAGAGAAACAGACAGATCCTAGGGACAGTGGTGTTGCAGGATAGGCTGGACTGGGTCAGGGGGATGAGAGAGGAGAACACGTCAAGGGCACGCACACACAGAGGGAGGGAGAAAGAGGGGTGTTCTAGGCCTGGGGAGCCTGGAAAGGGTAGGCAGGGAGTTCTGAAGGGAACTGGAACCAGACCAGGTAGAGGATAGTAGAGGAAGGGCAGCAGGTGTGGGCGGCGGAGGAGGGTGGGAGAGAATGCTACAGAGTAGAGCGGGGGCCGGGGGGGGGGCGGGGAGACAGTTCTATTAGGGACACTGATAACTCTTGGGAAGAAGATGAGTAGAAGGTCATAAGTAGTTGCTACTATTGTGGAGAAGAGATGGCGGAACAGCTAGAGGGGCAGCTAGAGAATTGAGGAGGGAAATTCCAACATGTAACCCAGGTAGGTGAGGCCCTGCCTCAGAGAAACACGAAGAAATTACAGTAGGATGGGAAAGCTGAGAGATTTACCCAAAAGGAGTGAGCGTCCACTTAAGGTCAGTACCATAGATTCTCAGTGGAACCCAGCATGGAGGCCTCACTGCTGCTGGGTAAAGCAGGTACAGGCTGAGGTTGCCTGAGGCTGGCTTTGGACAGTCCTATTTCAGGGCTGGGGTTAATCCTGGGTTTCAGTCCCCAGCCCTCTAGGGCACCAGGGCCTGCGTAAAGAGGCAGGAGATGGTCCTGGCCTTCACTGTGTCTCTGGGTATAGAGGGGGCAGCAGGACGGTACCTGGCTCTCTGTACTGGTGTGGGCACCAAAGTGATTTACAGAGCCAGATACCAGGGAGCTGTTATAATTGTCTCTGATGCTGTCATTGACAGGGTGCCATCTCCTGAAGCAGGAGCGAAGTTGGGGTACAGGAAATAAGCTCCAGACACAAGTAGTTACCTCCAGAAAGGCTTGCTGGTTGGTGTTGAAGCCTCGGGACTCCAGAATATCCTAAAAAAAGACAAGAGGGGGAAGAAGGTAACCCTCAGAAAGATACCACATGACTGGAGTAGGGGGTCAGGGAGGGGTCCCCTTCCCAACCCAGATTCCCAGTGCTGCAAATAAATCTGAAGATGCTCTGGGCAGGGTACAGTTTAGGGAAACCCAGCCTGGCTGGAGGCGTGGCTTCTGTACTCTACTCAGCCATGTTTAGGCTGTGTGACCTTAAGGGAGTCTTTTCCCCACTAGGGTCCTCAGTTTCCCTATTAAACTAAGGAGTACAAGACTTCGGAGACACCTCCTCCAAGCTGTGTGACTTGGAAGGATATTTACCCTCTTGGAGCTTTGCTGTGTTTTTACTTATTCTTTCTTTCTTTTGCAAAAATGGAGAGGGTAATAATACTTACCCACAGGGTGAGTGCAACAAAAAAATAAATGCGACTGTGACTATAAACGTTCATAGCAGCTTATACTTATTGTAGTTAATATGCTCCACGCTCCAGTTATGTCTACACCTGTCTGTCAGTTGGCTCCTGAGCCAGCTCAGGCCCTGCATGTAGTGAGCTCTGTGTGTGTGTGTGTGTGTGTGTGTGTGTGTATACACAGGTGTTCCAGCAGCCCCGCCCCTCACCTTGAATTCGGCCCCTGTCAGGCTGAGCACAAGCTGGTCATCCTGGAAGGCGGCCTTGGCCAAGTTGTCGAGGACGTGGTCGGAGAACCAAAAGTAGAGCATGCGGCCATCCCCCAGCAGGGTGGGGGAGAAGGTGGGGAGAGGGAGGTCCTCGGAGGTGTTTTTGTAGAGGAGATAACCCTGGAAGAAGATGGATGCTGCCTGTTCTTCCCCTGTGTGTCCCTGCTGGGCTCAGAGTCAGCTCAGGGAGATCATGAGGAGGAGCCAGCCAGCCCAGGGAGATGGGGAAACTGAGCAAGGGTGGCACTCGCCTTCATTGATTCAGTAGATACACCGCCAGCATGGAGTGAAGTGGGCCTGAGACCCAGTCACCACATCACAGGCTGGCGCTGTGGTAACAGCAGTGACCACTGCCGCTGGTAGCCATGGATCACTGTGCCCTCCACCCCCAGTGGGCATGGAACACTGCATCTTGGCAGCTGGGGCAGGAAATATACCACAGTCCGATTCCCAGCCCCTCCGATGTCTGCTACCCTAGGGCTGTGAAGGGCCAGGAGTACCCATGACCCCTCAATTCTCCTTGTGTTCACTTTTCTGGGGAAATTACAAGGGCTTCCTGTTCCCTAAAACCCAATTCTTGGCTGGGCTTATGATTACCTCCATTGAACGTCTCAGCTTCCCCTGCAGCTAGGTGTGACCCTGTGGCCCAGGTCACAGAGGCTGTGGCCGTCAGGTGACAAGACAGGGATGGAGTCTGGGGACCTGACCTGGCTGTGTCTCCAGGCCCACTCTGGACTGCAGCACTTGAGCTGCACACATGGAGATACACATGGGAGGGGGGGTGGGCGGGCTTAAGCTGCTACCCTTCCTGTAATCCTAGCTACTCAGGAGGCTGAGATCTGAGGATCACGGTTCCTGGGCAGGAAAAAAAGTCCATGAGACTCTTATCTCCAATTAACCACCAAAAAAATCAGAAGTGGAGCTGTGGCTCAAAGTGGTAGAGCCCCAGCCTTGAGCAAAAACAGGCCCTGAGTTCAAGCCCCACAACCAGCAACATGAACAAATAAGCTGCTACTTTCTTTGTTATAGCAACAGAAACCATATCCTAGCTAAATCAGGGATCCATAGCTTTCCTCAAAGTCCTCCAAGTGGAGTTTAACTCTCCCAAATGACTGCTCTAGAAGATACTGGAAGCCCAGTAAATCTAGAATGGAGCTGGTGTCTGGCTGGGCCCTCCGAGAGGGGTACCTTGGGCCTGTGGAGAGCCCACACACCCGGGCTGAGGCTCTGCCTTCCTGGGCACATCACGACACGCTCTGCAGGAGGGATGGCGTCCATGGGGCAAAGCTCCAGGGAGGTAGCTAGGTTACTGATTGGGTCCTAATCCCAGGAACACCCAGGGAGGTGAGACCCTGTCCCCTCTGGCTATGCCCACCTTGTGGTGGGACTCCAGGTAGGTAGCTGTGATGACTGGCGATCTTGTCAGTGAAATGTCAACCCCGATGTCTCCATCAGAGATAATGCTGGCTGTGGGGAGAGAAAGTCAAGGTACTGTTTTATGATTCTTACATACATTTTTTAAAGCACTCAACTCTCATTTTTAAACACTCAATTTTTTGTGTGTTCAGTCGTGGGACTTGAACTCTGGGCCTGAGCCCTGTCCCTCAGCTCTTCAGCTCAAGGCTCGCACTCTACCACTTGAGCCACAGTGCCATTTCCAGTTTTCTGAGTGGTTCATTGGAGATAAGAGTCTCACAGACTTTCCTGGCCTGGCTGGCAGATCTCAGTCTCCTGAGTAGCTAGGATTACAGGTGTGAGCCACTGGCGCCCAGCTAAACACTCAATTTTTTTAAACACTCAATTCTCACAGTGACCCTGGTGAGGCAGATGTAATCATTATCCCCATTTAGTGAGGAAAGAATAAGTTTCAAGAGGTTAAACAACACGGCTTATGAGGCTATAGCTTTAGGGGGAAGCAGCTTGCCAGAGCCAGACCATAATAATCACCACGTGTCAGCCATCAGGGACCAAGCCACCCAGACAGAGATGTGACTGTCCCAAGATCACCCCCTGACTGTGGGTGAGTGCCACCATCACCTCCTTCTGAAGCATGCAGACAGAACTCACCTGCCCTTTTCTGGACAAAGTCAGCCATGATGTTGGAGATGACATTGACCTCTTTGCAGATCTGGAGTGGACAGGCAAATGGATCACCAGGAAGGCAGGGAGACCGGAGGAGGAGGAGTGGGTGGCATCTCCCTCCAGGCCAACTGCATGGGAATGGGGCAGGGAAGGGCAGGGAGGGGAAGGGCTGGTTCCTGGGCACAACTCAGCGCACCAGGTGGATCAGCTGACCTCACTCACCTGTCCCTTCAGGACCAGCTTCAGGGTGAAGGAAATGAAGTTTGTGAACAGTCGCTTGATCCATCCAGGCCTGAGGGGAGCAAGCACTACAGTAAGCCTTCAGTCCTGTGCAGCCACGGAGCATCCACTGTATGCTGGGACCCATTCTGAGCTCTGCCAGCCTCCTTCCCATAGCCCAGGCCTTCTCCTTCTCCTCATGTCCCAGCTGACACCATGAGCCTCAGCAGGATCCTCGGCCTCGGGCCTAGCCATGTCACGGGTGACTTCCGGTAGAGGACTCCGTTCCTACCACGCTCACAGCTGCCATGCATGCCTAGTATCCAGATTCACATGTCTGTCTGCTCTGGGGACAGAGAGCATCCCCCCTCCCCCAGCCCCCACATCCCTCCTGTGTCCAAGGGGTGTGTTCACAGGTCTGCTGAGACAAAGCTTCACCCTGCGACACAGGAGCTCAGATCCCGGGGTGGAGGATGCAGGATGCAGGTCCTGCTTCCTGCCTTGAGACAGCTGTGGGTGTGTAGAAAGTCACTTCGAGGACTGGGAGTAGCCGTGACGTGGTGGTAGGCCTGCGATGCATCATTAGCTCACTGGCCAGTGGCTGTGTGCCAATAAAACTTTATTGACAACTCAGACAGCAGCAGGTATCTTCTCCCAGCTCTGCCCAAGGAGGAGATTCCAGGTTTGCTTTCCCTGTTAACCGACCCGTGCCTCAGTTTACCCCACATGTGAAAAATAGGTATCCTAAAAGAATCTCCTTCCTAGCATTGGGTTGTGTACAGGTTAAATTCATGGATTTATCCAAAATACTTAGAATAATAGTATGTGGCTCAGAGCACGCTCTCACTATTATTTTTCCTCAGCCTTTGAGGGTGTATTGATGGGGATGAGCTAAAGGCCCTGATCCTTCCAGGTTTGGCTGCCACACGCACGGGGAGTAACACGCTATTAGGATGGGGACATAAGGAAGACTGAGGCCAGAGAGGCGGTGACTTACTCACGCTCCCCTTGGAGATGCAGCAGCAGCTTGTGGAAAGACAGGTGGCAGTCGGGAGCATCGGTCCTCACTCTGCCAGAGTCACAGGCTGCAGGAGCCCAACAGCACCTCAGGGTGAGCTACCAGGCTTTGCCCATGGGCGGCCCAGGCTAGCCGGTAGCAGGCCCAGCACTGGGAGCATCCTCTCTCCCATTTTCCCAGGCTGGGCCTTATCTGAAGATGCTCCCCCTCTCTCCCTCCCTCCCTCCCTCCCTCCCTCCCTCCCTCCCTCCCTCCCTCTCTCTCTCTCTCTCTCACACACACACACACACACATACACACACACACAATCTGCACAGTCTGGCATATGTGCTCCAACCCAGCCCTGGAGCCCAGCCTCCCTGCCTCCTCTAGGAAGCTGCACGTACTCAGCTGTGTGTTGATCTGCAGGTCAATGGAGGAATCGATCTCAAAGTCGACAGACTGCTCAATGCTCAACCTGCAAAAAGCCAAGGTCCCAGGACATTCATTTGGTCTTGAGTCCCAGAAAGACTATCAGGTGACCTGCCAGTGCCCAGAAATGCTCACCCCCAGGCGCTCGTGTAGCCATAGTTCAGGGTTCCCTTGAAGATCCCAGATGCATTTCGAATGGAGACATCGATAGACTTGGCTTCCATCAACTCCACCTGGCTGCTGGAGACCGACAGGTGGCTGATCTGAATGCTAGAAGAGATGGAAATAAGGAGGGCACCATGCGGAGAGGAAGAGGGAAGCCACACCTCTCCACAGGCTGGACAGGCACTGCCCAAGGTCCCTTCTGCCCTCCTAGGTCTGTGTCCACCCAGAAATCACCACACAGGTTCATCTGGATCACTAAGAACCCCGGCATCTAGTGAGGCTGTGACCCCCAAACATCCTCATCCCAGTCTACAGAACGTGCGACTATGTTGGCTGATGTTGCAGATGCGACCGTACAGGTGCTGTGAGGTTAGAGCCCTCGCGACAGGTGGGGTGAGCCCAGGTCACCTGTGAGGAGGCCATGGAATCACAAGCATGCCAGCAGGAAAGGGAGGCAGGAGAAAAGACCAGAGAAGTCAGATGTAAGCTTCTCTGCTGTTGGAGATGGAGGAGCTGCAAGCCAAGGTCTGTGGGAAGCCTCTAGTAGCTCGAAGGAAACAGATCTCTTCAGGAAGAGCACAAGGACTGGGAAGGTGGCTCAGTGGTAGAGCGCTTGCCTAGCATGCATGAGGCCCTGGGTTCGATTCCTCAGTACCACATAAGCAGAAAAAGCTGGAAGTGGTGCTGTGGCTCAAGTGGTAGAGTGCTAGCCTTGAGCAAAAAAGCTCAGTACAGTGCACAGGCCCAGAGTTCAAGCCCCAGGACTGGCAGGAAAGAAAGAATAAAGGAAAGAAAGGAAGAAAGAAAGAAGGAAGGAAGGAAGGAATGAAGGAAGGAAGGAAGGAAGGAAGGCAGGCACAAACCTGCTGTCATCTCAACTTGAATCTAGTGAGACCCGTGTCAGACTTTTAATTTTTTTTAAATGGAAGGTAATAAATGTGTTGTTTGAAGCTATTAAACTTGTAGAGATTGTTCGTGTGTGTGTGTGTGTGTGTGTGTGTGTGTGTGTGTGTGTGTGTTGGTCTGGGGTTTGAACTCAGGGCCTGGGCACTGTCCCTGAGCCTCTTTGTGTTCAAGGCTAGCACTCTAGACCATTTGAGCCACACCACCACTTCTAGCTTTTCTGAGTAGTTTATTGGAGATAAGAGGCTCATGGACTTTTCTGCCTGGGCTGGCTTTGAACCATGATCCTCAGATCTCAGCTTCCTGAGTAGCTAGGATTATAGCCATGAGCCACCAGCGCCCAGATATGCAGATTTTTTTAATGGGCAAGTAGGAAGTGAAAACAGAGGGCTTCCTGGAGGAGGTGAGGCTGGGGTAGAAGGTAGAGGGTCTGGGGGGTTAACAAGAGGACTTTCCAGGCTTGAGAGGACTCTAAGTACAGAAGAGGAGCCAGTCCTGGGGTCTGTGGATGGGCCTGAAATCCACACAGAGTCCTGGGCACCTCTGTGCCCTCCCTCCCCACCCGACCCCACCCCCTTGCAGAAGCTGCAGAAAAACATAGTGCTGCATTCCAGTGTTGCCAGCGCCCCCTGGTGTCTCTACAACAGACAAGATCCTTCAGTACCAATGTCTCTAAGATGGTCCAACTTCATTAAGTCTGTTTTAGGGGATTGGGAGGTGGGGGTTGGTTTTATGGCTGGGTGGCCTCTCAGCTACTTGATCTCCCTGATCATCTCTTTTCCTATGCGTTAAGCAGAGCCATTGGGGAATATGATAGATAAGGTATGGTGTGTGTGTGTGTTGTTTTTTGCCAGTCCTGGGGCCTGAACTCAGGGCCTGAGTTCTGTCCCTGAACTTCTTTTGCACAAGGCTAGCACTCTACCACTTGGGCCACAGTGTCACTTCTGGCTTTCTCTATAGGGCTTCGTGCATGCTAGGCAAGCACTCTATCCCTGAGCTACCATCTCGGCCCATAAGGTATGGTTTATAAAGTGGTCTGGCCCACAGCCGCCCTGGGATGCTGTCACCATAAAGTTAGGAGACTCATTGGCCAAGAGACCTCTGTTTCTTGCTCCATCTACCCAAGTAAGAGTCTCCCTTTCCTGAGGTAGCAGAAAACATCCTTCAAGGCTTGTTTCTTATGTGTATGTGGGGTGGTGGTGGCAGTACTCGGGCTTGAACTCAGGACCTGGCATTTGCTAGACAGGTGTTTGCCCCTAGCCTTTTTAATCAGGGAAGAAAAGGAACCCAAATCCTGAATTATATCATCCCAATCTCCACTTCCTGAGAAGCCAAGGTGCAGGTATGAGCCTTGGCACTCCACGAAGGCCAGATCTTTCAGAGCAGCAGGAAAGGCCCATAGGCTCCAATTGGCCCTCGAGAGCACTGTGGAGTGGAGGGTGAAGGGGCCTGTCCATGGAGAGGCTGGGTTCTCTGGCTGCCTTTTCTCCCTGGGATGGGGGTAGGTCTCTTGTCCCTCTTGCCCTGGGCCAGCCCACTCCCACCCTGGCCACTCACTTGTGCAGGCCGTACTTAACCCCACCCAGGAGCATCACAGACTTCTCGCCCTTGATGTCTGGGTAGTGGGCTCGCTGAAAAGCCTTCTGGATCACCTTGGCGGTCTCCTGGTTCACTGGAGAGATGGTATGATTGAAAGGTGGCGGGCCAGGCCTAGCCCCACCCCACCCGATTATAGGTTGGCAGGTCTCAAAATGCTGAGCGGTCACTCTGAGCCTCACTCGGTGCTAGTTATCTTAACGTGTGTAATCAGAAAACAGAACTATTATTAAAAATAGGGCCAAATATTAAAGGCAGAGAGAAACTCCAGGTCAAATGGCCAGTAGTCAGCTGAAACCTTTTCCATCCTTGCTAAAAAGCAAAAGAACATCTCTCCCTCACTCAGGTTTACCAAGCTGGCCGCTTTGCAGTTTACCACAAACTTTACTGAAGGCCACTAACAACCGAGGTTTATCATCAACTGTACTATTAGGAGCTTACCATAAAAATCATTTCTGTAAAATAGACTACCCCTACCCAAGGTTATGTTTTGACTTCTATAATCCACGAATGTGTTTTGATTTTTGTAATCAAGTATCAATAATGTCAATAACAGTGATAGTATCAATCATGCTGACCAAGTCAAGATTATGTTTTGCCTATGCTCTTGTAACTCAAGGCTAATGTTTTGCTTCTGTAACCTTGCTTGCTTGCTTTGGTAAACATCACCTATGTGAAACCCCTTCCTATAAAAATCCCTGTGGAAAGCAAACGGAGCTGTTCTCTGAAGCTCTGCGAGGAGCTGGAGACAGACTCCATGTGGCTAATAACAGCTTCCAGCCAGATTGACTGAGTGCTGGTGATTTCTTTCACTGATCGTGGGTTTGAGCCCCACTGGCCCCGGGAAGTTGGGGTACTGCAGTTATATGTTGATTCTCGGGGGACCTCCAGCCAGACACCCTGCTCCCACCTCAGCTTTTGGATCTGAACACACAGGAACCCCGTGATCCTAGCCAAACACTGCCCTCCACCCCTGGCTATTCTCAGAACAACGCCCCTCATCCCCTCCCTAATACATCAGAGTCTAATCCTAGGTCTCACACTTAGTATAGTTGATGTCAGAGACTATCAAATTTAGCTTCCCAGGGCACTTATTGTATTGAGCAAGAGGCCCAGGCTCAGAGAGGGGAGTGTAAGTGTCCAAGGTCACACAGCAGTTGGTGACAGAATTTCCCTAGCCTAGGCTTATGTGATACCTGATTGGATGTAGTATAATCTCTGACAGTAAGTACACTCCAGCATCACCTTTGTCCCCTAACTTGATCCCTCTGAATCCCAGGCTGACCCTACAAATACAAACCACCATACCTAGCCTTTTGCAGCCTAGTAATGGCTTCAACAAAGAGCTTGACTTCAAGGGGAGGCCAGGAGAGAGTGGAGGGCCTGGCTCTGCCTGTATCGTTCTCTCCTGGCTGCATGGGCCAGCCTTGCTGGGAGGTGGACGTGGTACTTACACACCAGAAGGGCAGGCTTGGTGATGCGGCATACGATCCCTGCCGCATACGATGTGTCTGCAGAGCAGGCGTGGGCACTGGCCAGCACACTCAGGCTCAGGAGAGTGAGGGCAAGCATGGTTCTCCGGCTACCAGCAGGCAAATGGCCCTGGCCAGGCAGCCTGAGCTTTTCTATGCATCCGCCCAGCACCCATGAGACAAGCTGCTTCCGGGCAGCAAGGTCTCTCTGGCCCCGGGATAGGCCTCCTTCCTGCCCAGCCCTTGGCCTCTTCTTGGGCTCAGGGCTGGACAAGGGACCAGGGCACCCCACCCTCTGCATGTCCCCCTCAACCATCTGTGGCCTACTTGCCATCCCTTGTATTAACTGGGCAATGTTATACGATTATCTGGAGGATCTTTAATAAGCTTCCTTGAATTCTTGTTTTTCCTTTTACTTAAATAAGAATCTAAGAGGGAAACTCTTTCACTTGCCATAAATAGATTAATGATGTGAAATAAAGATATTCCAATCTTGCTGGACAATGACCTAAGTTGGAGGCCTGTGGTCTTCTGTCAATTAAAACCAGCCAGGTGCTGGGTGGCTCATACCTGTAATCCTATCTACTCAGGAGGCTGAGAACTGAGCATCGCAGGTCAAAGTCAGCCTGGGCAGGAAAATCCATGAGACTCTTATCTCCAATTAACCACTGAAAAGTTGGAATGGAGGTATGACTCAAGGGGTAGAGTGTTAGCTAGCCTTGAGCAGAAAGAGCTAAGTGAGAGCGTAAGGCTCTGAGTTCAAGCCCCAATATGGCACAATAAAATCAATCAATGGATACTTAAAATGCTTTTAAAAAGCAGCTAAAAAGGGATCTTAGCACCACCTCTCTTCCCCTGTTGACACTTGAAACACAGGAAAGACCCCAATATCTTTGCAGTGTTTAAGCCACTCATCTGTGCCATGGGCCACCACTTTGCGTGTCCCTGGCATACATCTTGCTCTTTGGGATGTTCTGACCTAGAGATCATTGCATTTAGCTTCCATAGTCCCTTTTTGAGGAAGCAGCTGTGGCCCAGAGAGGGCAGAGTATCTGGCCAAGATCACACAGAAGTTGGTGACACAGCTTCCTCAGGCTGGGATGTACAAGTCCTAGGATATTGAAATGCGCTCTCTCTATAGCTTTGCCAAGGAAATGGTGGATGGGAGCAGACTCACTCCTGAGCAGGCCATAGCTGTTAGAAGCATACTCAGAGCAGGGCTGAGTACTGCCTTTCCCAGGGTTCAGAGAGGTTAGGCTACTTTCCCCTGGTACCCACAGGCCGGGCAAGTGCTCCCCTCAGCTGAAAGGGCAGTGCCCACTGGCTATCTGAGGGCTGGGGCTGGAGGATGACCTTTAGCCCAGAACTCTCTGTGATCTCCTCCCACAGGCAGGCTGCCAGGCAGTCTGGTGGCTCCTGGATCACGAGGACTTCCTGGGGCCATTGTCCTCCTGGCTGTTGTTTATATTTCATTCCTGGGGCAGAGGGTGATGACCAGCAGTGCCCAGGCAGGGCTCTGGTGGTCAGCAGAGGGGAAGAGAGAGACAGGCTGCTCTAGCCTATGTCCCAGCCCAGGAGCCTGGCACCCGCAAGGTGGAGTGGAGAGCAACGCATTTATTGGGCATGAAATTTAAGAAATGCTGGGAAACCTCAATAGCAGATATTTGAATGAAATGTTTTGCAAATCAGGATGTAAGCAGGTATTTGTAGAGCCATCCTCAGAGCAGTTAAACTAGGTTTTTAGTCCTCAGGCCAAAACTCTAGGAGTCCCACATTAGACCCAGCTATATGTCTCCATAGGCCAAATACAGAGACTTGGCCAGGGGCTGGGAAGGTGGCTCAGTGGTAGAGCTCTTGTCTTGCATGTATGAGTCCCTGGGTTCGATTCCTCAGCACCATATAAGTAGAAAAAGCTGGAAGTGGCGCTGTGGCTCAAATGGTAGAGCACTAGCCTTGAGCTGAAGAGCTGGGAGAGAGTGCCCAGGCCCAGAGTTCAGGCTCCACAACTGACAGAGAGGGGGGGGGGAGACATGGTGAAGGGTAAAGGAGATTTATTACATGGCAGCACTGGGAAGATGGTATTTTAGTATACCTTTAGTCATCTATGGGGGCTTCAAATTTACGTTCAGGTTAAATAGGGAGAAATTGGGGCCAGGGGTGAAAAAAGATATTCATAGCTAAAACAGTTCTGGGTGTGGCCTGGCTGACCACAAGGTCAGTCTTCCTCTCTAGAGGCCGGTGGGTGGGTGGCCTGTAGCTTTTGGCTATTTTCTTCAAGATGATGGGCTGACAGACTTTGCCTGTTCTACTAATGACAAAGATCATAAGTAGGCCAGAGAAGACCACTTGAAAGAAGTCTTTTAATGGGTCCAGTGTTGCAACACTAGAGGCACAGCTCAGAAAGGTGTTCCCCAGCTAGCTCAAAAGTGAGCTGAGGGCTGGGAATGTGGCTTAGTAGTAGAGTGCTGGCCTAGCATGCGTGAAGCTCTGGGTTCGATTCCTCAGTACCAAATAAATAGAAAAAGGCAGAAGTGGTGCTGTGGCTCAAGTAGTAGAGAGCTAAACTTGAGCCAAAGAAGCTCAGGGACAGTGCCCAGGCCCTGAGTTCAAGCCCCAGGACTGGAAAAACAAACAAAACAAAACAAAAGTGAACTGAATAGCCTGCTTATATAGCTAGAAAGCAAGGTGTGTGTGGGGGGCGGGGGGGGGGGGACGGGTATTTGCATCAACCCTGGCAAAGCCCTTCATGCAAATGAAAGATTGTGATCTGCACCAATCACAAGCTTTCAGCTGGGCCACCAGGGAAAACCACTAGCCCTCTTACCTAGGTAAAATGACAACAGGCTCCCAAGTTCACCAAGGCTTGTGAACTGCACAAGCTGCACAGTTGTGGCTGGAATAGTGTCTTCTGCAGCGGGGATTGTGCTTCAGCAACCAGGAGCAGTGTTTGCAGAGTGGCTTCCACAGGACACCTGTGGAGTGTCCTAAAGCAAGTAGGCTGCCATGAAGGCAATCTGACCTGCTGTTTGGCTGGCAGTTCCCTGACCAAGGCTGCCAGCAACAAGGAAGAGGCCCATCAAACAGCTAATTGTGCCCAGAAAGTATTAAAAGGATGTTTGCAATAGAGACTTAAGGAAAACTCAACATGGAACTAACATTCTAATAGCGCTCAACAGTACTACAGTTTCTAACTCCTGTCCCTGTGCCCCAGAGAGAAATAGGCTTCTAATCTCAGATTCATTTATATGCAATACCATGAAGAAATGCAATGGGGAATATAGAGTGCCAGAGGCTGGGGAGAAGAAAATCGGTGTGTCATTGTTGAATGTGGACAGAGTGTGAATGCCCCAAATGCCACAAAACAATGTTGAAGAGGGACTGAAATGGCAGGTCTTACTATTTATATTATCTCTGTAAAAGAAAATCAAGATTAATGCAAAAAGATCCATAATGAACAAAGTATGAAAACTTACTAAAGATTGAATCAGTGTCACTGATTTTTCCTCCCCCAGAGCTTATGACAGCACTGTTGTTGAGTTTGATCTACAACACAACAAGGTGCCAGCCCGATTCTAAGGTCTTCCTCTACCTGATTCAGTGACCTACAAATCACAGCTTTAGAGCATGAATCCAAGAAGAGGAATTTGTGGCATGTCTGGACACAGAACCCAGTGGAAAATTCCAGTCTTCCTCTCTCAGATTTATTGATCTAACACTTGGGTAGATCTTAGTCAAGAACACAATAGCAAAGCCAGACAAGGTGGCTTTAACTGCTTGGGAGGTGGAGATTAGGGTTCAAGGCAAGCCCAGGCATAAAATTTGCATCTCAATTAATGGTTAAGAACAGTAGTGTGTGTGCCTACCATCCCCAGCAACACAGAGACACAAGTAGGAAGATCATAGTTCATGACAGCCTGGAAGTAAAGTGAGAACTTATCTCAAAAAATAATTAAGGCAAGCCAGGTGCCAGTGGCTCACACCTGTATTCCTAGCTACTCAGAAGGTTGAGATTGGAGGATCACAGTTCAAAGTCAGCTCAGGCAGGAAAGTCTGTGAGACTCTTATCTCCAATAAACCACCAGAAGTGGCACTGTGGCTCAAGTGGTAGAGCGCTTGCCTTGAGCTGAAGAGCTCAGGGACAGCGCCTAGGCCCAGAGTTCAAGCTAATAATAATAATAATAATAATAAAGTCAGAAAGGAGCTGGAGTCATGATTCAAGTGATAGAGCTACTGCCTAGCAAGTACAACCCTGACTTTGCTCCCCAGTACCACCAAATCAAATAAACAAGCAAACAACAACGCTAGCAAGACTTGGAACTTAATTATTGGCTGTGGAGAGTAGGAGAATGAAGGCATGGGAAGGGGAAGTGTCATCAAGGAGGAAAGTATACTAGTATGGTGATGGAAATGAGCTTTGTATCCAGCAATCAGGGTATCAGGCCACTAACCTCATAGTTTGTGTCCTGGCCCCCTAACTCTCATTCCAAGAGGTAGGGGGTGGTTATGATGACGACTCCTGGAAATCTTGAATCTCTCTGGAGGGTTATCAGTGGACGGCTTACTGAGGCTGACTGTTCTGTCCCCTCTGAAACTCGTGCTGGACTTCGATCCTCCGTGTGAGGTACCAGAGGGTGGAAACTTAGTCTGACTATGGTATTTAGAGTAGGGGCTGTTTAAAACAGGGATTCGAATTATATAAAATAATCAGACTGGAGCCTTCATGACTGAGGGAGACCAGAAGACACATGACATGCAGTTACACACACATGTGCATTCGTTCCTTGATTCTGAGTCTTCCATTAAGACCCCATATGGTTTGGGGACACTGCCAGCAAGAAACCATCACCAGATATAGCCTGTTGGCCTTACGCTAGAAGGTGAGCCAAACAAATTGACTTTTCTTTATAACTGGTCCTATTTGCTAGGTACCTTTATTGTGTTCTTAGCAAGAGAAAGTGGAATAATGCAGACATCTAGGTCCAAGGGCGGCTAGCGGTGTCAGCCAACTGGGGCAGGAAGATGTGGCTCCAGGCTGCAGGGAGAGACCCAATGACTGGAAGGATGGGAGGGGCCGAAGCCTCCTGAATGCACCCAAGGCCTGAGGGAGGGGCTGGA